TCGTATATAACTAGTGATGATTGGATTCTGTCCAACATTGATAATATTCCGATTGTCTCAAATATATTCATTGATATATCACCTTGCATGCCTGTATATAAATGCTTCTTTGTACCTATCTAAAGCAATACCTCCTTTGGTTGAATGAAAATTATTCGTGAATAGATGTTATGATTGTTATAATCCGAGCAATAATTATTGAGTTCTTTAATGCTTGAACTTCAAGATATTTATCTAACGTCGTCTAATAAAGTTTAACCCGCACATATGTACTCAGTTGCTTGCTTTAGTTATGCATGGTGTTTTATGTATGACAGAACCAATCGTGAGGTTATGACTATACTTGACAAAATGCAATTTTATGTATCTTGCAGTCAATCCCCTTGCATGTGTTGCTCCTGATGTGGACACAGACTTGCAGCTTAGTGGTCCGGGGCTTTCTGCTCATTATTTTGAGACTCCTGGTTTGAAGCCTGAAAATCAATCTGCAAAGAAAAAGCGGACACCTTGTAAGAGGAAGCGCAATGGTGAATTAACCTAACCAAAACAAGATCTAGCTGGAAGAGGCTCGTCCACCTTTATCTGGTTCTTAGAATCTGGAATCCCCATATTTGCTGTCTAGGCGTGTGTTACTTATGGTTTACGGTAACTTCCTGAATGTTGTAGGTTTAGTAGTTGCTAGTTTTAAGTAGTATATATCGAGTCAACTATGAGCAGTGGCATCTTGGGTATAAAGCTGCTTTACTACGAGGTAAAGCCTTATTAATGGGGTATTTGGTGGTTGAACTCACATGAATCTTAGCTAAGCTTTAGCTTAATCAGAGCTTATTAGCTCGACTAGACTTTAACTCGGTACATTTGATATGCTTATGATTAATGATACTTTATATTATCTATTTACTCTTTAAGAGTTCATTAAACAATTTTGTCTGTCATGGAATTCCAACTCTTTCTACTTCTTGGACCAATAATTCTTGATATTGGGGGGGGGTGGAAGGTGCAAGTTTGATCCAAATTTGGGAATGTAAAATAGAGATAGAACAATTATTCTAAGAAGTCCATCCATTGTGATATTAAAAAGTGCGTAGTAGATCGATGAGAACATACGAGTTTGTTATGTAACAAAATAAGCCTAACTGGCCATTTAAGGCAAATAAATCGAGATGGCTGTGGAGCTTTTCTTTTCTTAGAATAATAAGTAGCTCAGTGATCGAGCTAGACTAGACTTCTTCGTGTAGGGAAATGAGGTTTCATTTCAAAATGTTAACTATTAGGTGCAGTAATTTAATCTGTTGTAAGCTCATCATCCTTTCTATTTTTATCTGATGTGAAACTGTGTAATACTCTTGTTGAAGTTTGATCCAAATTGGGTTTTGGTGGATTAGTTGAAGTGGGCCTTCAAATGGTCAAAATATGTACCAAAGAATGATTTCGAACGCTCGAAGCAGGGAGACTAGTACTCGCTGCTCATTGCCAACCTATCATTTTGCTACCCACTTAGTGTCAGACCGGCGCTCGAGCGCCGGTGTGTTTCATCTGAAGATTGTTTTCTTTATTCCAAGCATTTTTTATGTTCTTTCCATCTTTAACACTATAATTAGGGCTTGACAATTTGTCCAATATATAGTTGGCTCTTGATTACAAGTTTGATAAGTTGGACAATATTATAAACACAATATATTTGTATTCTTTCTCCACATTATAGTGAATTATAATTTCAGCTGCCAAATTTCTTGTGTTCTTCTTGTATTGTGATATTTACTTTATATTGTGTCATATAATCTTGTCTTTAACGTAACATCTCCCAACAATCTCCTTTCGAATGGAGCATCGTTTTATCTCGTTCGCTCCAAATAACTGTCTATCCATCTCTCTTCCTCAAACCAGGAAGATTACATGCAATAACAAGGCCCTCTGTTCGACTGCAACTGAGAATTCATTTTTACACGTGTCTAAGTTTAGGGCATAACTCTGATTGAAGGGTGTGTACGTATGCATTATTGGCCGGGATAATCTGTTTAGCTGGATAGTGGGATCCCACGAACCTTTGGTTGGCAGTGTATTGCATTGAATGGAATTTGGCTTATTCCTAAAGTAAAATGGCAGTGTCATTCCAGAGATGAATTCCTCTCCCATTTCTTCTTTCGGTCATGTCAGGGATAAGAGTAATCTCTAAAGGGCAATAACAAGATTTTTTTGTCGGCCAGAAATTTAGGAATAATGTACTAGATAAACATATTTGTCATGTGGGGAAAACGGTTGTGCGACATGTACATAATAATTTATATACATATGATGTAGTGAGATATGATTGGGACAAAATTTCTTCAACCAAATAAAAAAAAAATCCCCACGCTATTTTTGACTCATCGTCATTATGTAAATTATTATATAACTTCATTATATATAAGTAGTATTACTCAAGATCAAATTGAGCACGGTTTTTATTAAAATCAACTCCAATATGAGCATTGACATGTTTAGCGAAGGTCTCCTTATTTACAATCAAGTTCGACGGGCTTTTGGTCATGACTTAACCATTAACTCATGGAAAAGTAGTTAAATGCAAGAGTGATGTTATTTATCATCATAATGGTGGAATATCAGTGCTGTGACAACTCATTATCCCTCACATTTCTCTCTATCTAGAAACCACACTCTCTTTCATAAAAATTAAACTACCAAATCTCGTTATTCCACATAAACTACCACATCTTCGATGTTCCATCATCATAACGATAAATATTAAATAACATTTTTCAAAATGCAATGGTTATAACTTTTTTCTCAGAACAAATCTATACCTCTATTTTTAAGGAGTGAGTTCTCGACTACAAAAGAAGTATAGAATTTGTAACCCGGCCGTAGCTTGAAAAGTCATAACCCCTAATTTTGAAAACTATTTAGAGAGAAAAAAAGATTGTTCCAATCATCCAAACGTTAAACCTAATAAATGTCATTGTTGATGTTATTGACATATAAATTTAGTCAATTCCAAATTCGATCAATAGAGATGGTTGAGGCCTTTGTTGGAGTCTAAGCAAAATTCACTAGAGAGTTTGGACATTAAAGACGAGAGGTGTGATTCTTTTCTTTTTTGCAATCGCATCACGACACAATACTCGCTTATACGTGAAAATTTGTTATCAATTAGGCAAAGGTGCAATTTAGTGAGCAGACACAATGGGGATGAAGAAGACATGTCAATGATTGGCCCCTACTCTTCTTAGTAGACTACAAAAGAGGAACAAAAAAACCCCCAACTATTTTCAATTCCCCTAATGAATTGATTTTAAGGGTGAATTTGAGCATGGCTACATACAAGGAAACATCCAAGGATAGTGTTCCCTTGCAAGACAATATATGAATGAATAGGACTTTTGGTCCCTAAAATTACATGTTTTGTGGTCCTAAAAGGCATTGTCCCAATGAAGAGTTTTTAAATTACAAATGGAAATAAAGGTTATAGGCACTTAGAATTTTTTTAAAAGGTGAAGGGTCAATTCACTGAATTTTTTTTGTTAAGGGTACGAATATATAATTCTGACATCTTTCAAAGAGTATATCATACACTATTTTTTAAGATATCGGTTGATGATTTTAATGATAAGTTTGAATGTCAACTCGTACATTATAAAATTATAATCGACATTCCATCGATTTGATCGATCAAATTATTTGAAAAGAAAAGTAGAAAAAGAGAATTGCCCACTTGTGGTTGATAACAAGTGTGTCAAGGTCTTGCATAAGCAAACATGTGACATTGTCACCATATCAAGCTTCTAAGTGGTTCCACCACAAGTTGGCATTTCTTGCAATGATTGGAGCAAAATTTGAAAAATATGAGGTTCAAACATATCATGTATACTCATATGACATTCTACATTCTCGAATCTAATTTGTTGAATATGCCCATATAATTTTTTTTTTTCGTCTTTCCGATCTATTTTATCAAATATTGATATGACTCTAAATAATCATGGCCCTTGTCCCATGTAATTGTCTATGGCCAAGTGAAAATGTCCGAACTCTTTTAAGAGAAGATGCCAAATAAATTGCACAAACCAACAAACTATTTATATTGTTGTATTTATAGTCCAAATCGACTTTTTCTATTTTTGCAGCTTGCATTTGCTACTACATTTTCAGACATTATCATTACTTCATGACAATCGAATACAACATTTACCTATTTACCAATGAGGTCACATTCTATGCATTAATTGATGTAAAGTACCATGCTATGGATTAGAATGCTTTTTAACTCATAACAAGTTAAATTAGTAGCGTCTGTGCATAGGCGCGATCGCATACACACATGAAATTAATCTTCTAAGCGAAATTTGACACGTGATTAGGGGCAGCAAAGGGCAGAACCACTTGTCGACTTGTGGACTTGGCTCATCCCAACCCATGGACCGAGTTAAGCTCGATTTTTTTTTCACGAATCAAGTGGACTTGATTCGTTCTGCTAGTTACCGGACGCGAGACTGAGTTCTCGGTTTTGGCAGTTCCACTTTTGGGCATTGGCTCACGACTGGGCTTTCCAAAGTAGTTCTAAAGGGCGCCTGCTTATTCCCATTTTATTCAATCTTCTACGTAGGATCGGACTTCTGGCCTGTTCGTCATAGGGGGAACTTTCGGTCAACTCTACTGGTCCTAGGGGTGGGCTGTCTCAATCTCGTCTCATGTCCACATGGACAAAGAATCGAGTCTTGTTTGTGGACAAGAGTTGAGCCTCCCCTATGTGTTTGATTAAATTTCAATTTTTACGGCCCTTTATTTAAATTCATATGCAAAGAAACTTTGCATGTCTAGTTTATAGATATAACATTTACGCATACATCACATATATAAACATTGATTTGCACTAAATTCAAAAAAGATCGAGGGACACTAAATAATTATATGGTAAACCAATCTATTATTTTGGAAGGAAAATTCACGTGAAGAAATATTAATTGTAAAATATAGTATTAGATCAAATTATATAAAGAAGAAAATGCAAAATATAAAATTCAAGAAAATTATCTAAATGTTTTATTTAAGGAAAAATTTATTATTGTCTTGTACTTCTTAAATTTATGATTAGTACAAAATATCGAGATGGTGATTTAAACCTTTGTATATTCAAGTGTCCAATGTAAGCACTAATGCAATTAACACTAATTTTATAAAAATCATGTAATTAAATAGCTAATTAATGCCATTAAGATCATGACACTGCTTAATTAAGTAAGTTTTACTGTATGGATAAATTTGCAGAGTTTTGCCACAAAAATAGGGTCAACGACAGAGTTAAAAACATGTAGGACATGCGTCATTCGCTGATTGGACAGTTTAAAAATAAAAATAAAAATAATCCAAACAGGTGCTGACACATGCCCCCGTCTGACTAACTTTTCCCAAATTTGTAAGTTCCCTAAGGGACCAAATTAATTCACTTGCTACATTGTTATGCAGCATATTGACAACATAGGAATATTTAATTAAGGAATTGTCTCGTAATTTCTTTATTTTCAAAATTACAACAAATTAAGC